TCGGGAAGAATCAGTTAAAATTTCAAGCGATTTTCCTTCCATTTTATTGTATCGTAATTTTGGTTTTGAAGTTTAATGGGGCAATAAATCTGTGTTTAAAAGTTTTATCTCCTTCCAAGGCTATTTGCCCAATCCCATATACTAATCGCCGTCGACATTTTGGATTTCCGCCGGTCAGATCTCTCCGATAGCTCCCAGACTCCACCCAGCACTCGACGGCGACGGTCGTCATCTCAAATAAGTACGCCACCCAGATTCCCTCGTACGGGCTACACCTCAAGACTTTGAAGCTCGTTTCTTTTTTAACTCGTGAGTATTTTGTTTCAATTGAACAAATTTGGTGAATGACAATTTAAGCTTGTGATTTTTTATTTTTATTTTTTTGTTAAATTTATGTCTTTGATTTGAGGCTTTGAGCTGCAAGGTTGTGAATATTAAATTGTTATTTCTCCGTTTTATCGGATAACCGATAACCAAACTGATAAACCGCTAGAATTTTCGGTTTGAAACTGAATCGAACCGTATATTTCGTGTTCGGTTCCGACCGAATGTGCAGCCTTAACCACTAGTTGACAATCGAAGCCAACGTAATCACAGTGCAAAAGAAGAAGTGCAGTGTAGGAGCTCGAGCCACGATGAAGTTGCTGGGATGGTGGTTGATGCTTGTGGGCACGCTTCGATTGGCATCTGTTTGGTTCGGATTTTTCGACATTTGGGCCCTTCGTCTCGCTGTTTTCTCCCAAACGCCCAGTAAGTAGTCGAATCTTGTATGCAGAGGTCGATGATTCTTATGTTTCTTTCGAACTCTTTACGCGTTTGCACATGATTTTGTGATTTATAGTTTGGTTAGATCCAAATCAATATATGATTATTTTGTGATTTATAGTTTGGTTAGATCCAAATCAATATATGATTCGCCTATTTTCGCACACAAGTTAAATGCGCTTAATGCCGCTGTGGAAATGGTGTTCACGTCACGCGAGTTTTAGATAATATGATTCTTATTTATTTTTTTTATATATTCTGATGATACGCATAGAGTTTGGATTTTTTTCTCACCCTTTCATCAAATTGAGTAATGGATTTACTCTCAATGAATACTGAAATAGTATGTCATATATGGATTTCCGATATGGAGTTTGCTGGTGTTTCATTTTGCCCCTTCAATTTATCTCAAGTTTGAGGCTATTACTCTTTGATCTTCGCATTATTTCACGAAGTGTAGCTGAAAAGATTGCATTGAGCTTAATTATGAATTTGTAAGTTTAAGAATTTTCAGTTTGCTACTACTGCAACTTTAGCTTCTTGTTTTAGTGGAGCTATGTGGGTTTTTGATGCAAAAGAGCTCGAGGTTGAATTTTCATCTCTGCACAGTCGGTTAAACCCGAGCCATAAGGCTTGCCTAAGTGCTTTTTACCAACATGGCGTGATCTATAAGCTACTTTGTAGAACGTGATTTGCCTTCATCACACCCAAATGGAAGTGGGTATTTCTTACTCGGTTATTTTCTTAAAGAACTCTGCTGAAAAATTTTCTCGGGCTTATTTTGCATAATGTAGCCTGTTGGTAGTTATAATAGTATCCAAATGATGGCTATTCTCTGAACGCATTTAGGATATGAATATTCAGCAATTAGGCAGGGGAGAAATGTTCATGTACCTGAATCACAAACCATGATTGCAACTTGTTTTTACCAGTTTATATTTTTCATTTGTGTGTAAAACTGGTTATTAGGATGTTGTCTTAGGTAATTTTATTATATAATGGATATAGTTTTTGTCATTGTTAATGGAGGGTTTTAACTGCTTATCTTTCATGTATTCGGCGGAACTTGCAGTAGCTATGTGGACCTGCTAAGCCATAGAATAGAAATAAAATGATCAAATTGTTTTGAAGAGGGTATTCATATGAACATCTGTAAGGCATCTAGGCTCCATCTATTACTCATTTGTTTTATTGCATGTCGTCTTATTGATTGCTAGAATTCCATGTTCGAATTGAGTATTATAATTGGGATTTCAATTCTTTATTATATTACTCTGTAGTGACTGAAGTTCATGGACGTACATTTGGAGTTTGGACTCTTTTGACTTGCACCCTTTGCGTTCTTTGTGCGTTCAACCTCGGGAACAGGCCTATATATCTAGCCACTTTCCTATCATTCGTCTATGCTTTGGGCCATTTTTTGACGGAGTATCTGATTTACCACACCATGGCTATTGGAAATTTGACAACTGTCAGCATTTTTGCAGGTATTGCAGCTTAAATAATGGACTGTTATTCACAAAAAATGTTGACTGACTTACCGTTTATATTTGGATACTACAGCTAACTACTGGTGACACTATTATATCTAACACTCTCACAATTATTATTATTAAGATTCTTTCATGCATGGATTGTAACCTAATTATCTTTGACAAAAATTCTCTATTTCTCAGTTCAATAAATCTCATGTAAGTTATTCTCCTATCGACCTATGAGTTTCTTGCCTGTTTTGAAAGTAGTTATCTTTCTTTTCTTTCCTTTTCTTTTCTTTTTCGTTTTTGTTTTAATTATAACTTAGTTAGGTGGTAGACTGCAATGTCTTATTGCCCGAATTTTTAATACTTAGTTCTTGAGGCTCAAACTTTCATCACAATTTACCTTCTCTGCTGATAAGAAGACTTCAGTTGTTGAGGCTTAAATTATCATCAAGAATTCACAATTATCATGCTAGGCTCAGTTTCTTTCCCTCCCACAAAGCTATAGTTGGTTGCATTTTAGATACACCATTAGCTTCTGAATTATTATATACTTACGTTTACATTTTTGTTGAATTCTCTTATATTTCCAGGCACATCCATTGTATGGATGCTGTTGCAATGGAATTCGCATCAACCGATCAAGAGTAAACAAGTATAAAGTGAAATCAAGCATGAAATATTTTTGTTGAATTCTCTTATATTTCCAGGCACATCCATTGTATGGATGCTGTTGCAATGGAATTCGCATCAACCGATCAAGAGTAAACAAGTATAAAGTGAAATCAAGCATGAAATGTTTCATGCTGACAAGACACTGATAAAATTGAATATCACTCCCTTGCGATCACCTCAATCAGAAATGTTACCTGAGTTTATCATACTCTCTTTCACTCTCTCTCAAATAATTGTTAGAGATGACAGACTGTATCTTTATCTGGTTAAAGTTCTCAATATTTATATGTTTAACGTTGATTTTGAAATTCTGAAGTGTTATACAGCACTTCACTCTTCTCTAGCAGCTATAAAGGATGTACTAACAATACTACTAGATATTTTTTACAGATTTTTTTTTTTTTAAAGCAGCTATAAGGGATGTACTAATAATACTGCTAGATATTTTTTACAGAATTTTTTTTTAGCCATTTTAAAAATGTGCAACACAAATTTTAGATATGTTTTTTTGGCAAAAATATCTTTTTTAGCCATTTTGGAAACTAAAAAGACAAAGATACCCTATCTAGGGGTGAGCATGGTGCGGTTCGGTGCCAAAC